TGTTTCTTTTGAAGGGTACATTTGGCTCTACTGTTTAGTCTGTTTTTCTTATTTAATTCGGTTTGTTCCTTTCTGCTACTAAACTCAACATTTTGACCTGCTGACACTGATCTGAGTGGTTTTGGGAGATTATCATCTTGATCTCCAGGTTTCTTGATTGTTGGTGGTTCTTGGATGGCGATCTCCACTAATCTCTGGGTTTAGTCATTTCATTCAGTCTAGTGATGATCCTCAGCATCCTGTAGGGCGAGACTGCTTCAGTCTGTGGAGGATAAACCTAAAAACCTCCAACCGTTGGTCGTTTAGTGACTCTTGGTAGGTTTATCTATTTTTGACGGTCGGAGCTCGTTTTGGGAGGATTAACATCTTGACTTAGGCAGTTTGATCGCATTGAAGTTAGACTCCGTGTTGGGGAGGGGTCACATCTTTACTCGCGCGACTCTTTGATTCTCTTTTTTTTTTTCCCGTGTCAGTTTTTTTTCTGTATCACCATCTTGATTTTCTCGACTCTTTGGTTGTTTACATAATCTGAGCTGCTGACTCCACTGGTTCTCAAAGTTCTGACTCACACTGTGAACTTTGATTCAGTCTGGTTTTTGTTTTTTTTTCTAGGTCGAACCGGAACATTTTGGTGGTAGAACCGGGTCAAAGTTCACAGTCGGATCACCGCAGAGGACAGGTGAGCAGCTGCTGCTTTACGCGGACAGACAGCTGGCTGTGGTTCTGCTGTTCTGTCTGAGGAAAGATTGGGTTCGTGTAAAATGTTTGGTATCATTTGATCAACCGGATCCTCTCTGGGCTGCTGTCCGGATCAGGTTTGCTGCTCAGACTGCAGTGACGTAGGAAATCAAACTTTTTATTCCAGCTTGGGTTTATTTTCTGTCATATTCAGGTGCTTCAGATTTCAATGAACTTCCGGTTGTTTCATGCAGAGCAGGTGCTGATCTGACGTCACTGAGATTGCTGTTTTGTTTTGCAGCTGATTAGATGATGGCGAACCCTCTGAGGGCTGAGGTGGTTCGACTCTACAAGAACGTGAGTCTTCAGTTGCTCTTAATCAACCAATCAGTTGATAGATTATCAATGACGTCACAGATGTGAGGAACCAGAACATCTAACAGCTTCCTGGAGACCAGAATTCCCTTTTCATTTGACTTTAGGGGCGTAGTTTCTGACATGAGGGAGCTGAGGGCGGCGGTTCTTACTGACTCCAGGATCCAAAAGCAAACAACTAAAAATCTGGACTTTTAAAATAAACCTCAGATTAAAAATAATCAGTCATTGGATGATCTAAGCTTAAATCTGATCCAGCATTCATCCTCTCCCTCCTCCACAGCTCCTCTACCTCGGCCGGGAGTACCCCAAAGGTGGTGATTACTTCAGGGACCGGCTTAGAGCGGCGTTCACCAAGAACAAGTCTGTGGAGGACCCGGAGCAGATCAAGGCCATGATCGCCAGGGGGGAGTACGTGGTGCGGGAGCTGGAGGCGCTCTACTACCTGAGGAAGTACAGAGCGATGAAGAAGCGTTACTACGAGGAGTAAAAACGCTCTGGAGAGACTCGAACCCAAGAAAATGAAACATTTTATTTGTTGTAAAAAACAAAAAACAGAACAAACTGGAGGAGCTTCAGCATCAAACATGGAAGAAATAAAAACGTCCAAAACAACTTAATCAGTAATTCTTTCTAAGACATCCAAGAGTTCCCTGTTAGGATGTAGGCGGCACCAGGCAGTCTCCGTCAGCCAGGTTGGCCCTGCAGATGGGACAGGTGGTGTTGTCCTGTCAGAGGGAGGAGGAGGAAGCGGGTTAATACTGGACAGGGCAGAGATCTACTCAGTCATTCAGTGGTATCAAAAGTA